GAGAGCGACAGGATCCTCCCACGTCGCAAGGTACAGAACGAGACCCCCCCCCTCTGCTGTCGTCTACGGCGGCTCAAGCTCGCGAGCTGTGGTGTGAGAAGGTACGGCGACCACCGCGGAGGAGGCTGACCGACGGCTATGTCATAAGGAGAGGGTACCCATAGGGCGCGGAGCTCGCAGTACAAGACGGAACCACCGACCGGTCGTGGTAAGGAGGGGACCGCGGGCAATTCGAAGGGGGATGCCGCCTCCCGTCACGGTCTACCGACCCCCAGGAAGAGGACGTATACGCCAAAGGAGTCGCTCTATTTCCGAGGACTGCGGGCTTGGCTCGCACGGCGCTTCGGGGCACTCATCACCCCCACCACGGCGGAAACAAAAGAGGACCCACCGAATCGCGGGGGAGTGGACCTCCCCCGCACAGAAGAAGGACACTCGCCGACGTCGCGTTCACGTGACGGAGGCGGCGAGTGGGAGGGCCAAGACGCAGAGCGGTTCCGCGCGCCTCATCGCGGAGAGAAACGCGCGCACGGAGACGAATGACCTCGGAGGAGCAGCGACGGGGCGGGAAAGACGGCGCAGACACCAAGCGGTGCCGAGACGAGAACGCGACCGACAGTGACAATGGATTGGAAGGATCCTGCGCGCGAAGGAGGTGGAGAAGGACCGAGGGCGAGCAAGACCTGATTGAACCGGAGGCACACCCCCCCTTACCCGCACACGTGAACGCGGACGTTCACGCCTAAGGGGGGGGCCGTGTAGCATAACCGCCGGCTACTGTACTATACATTAGATTTAGAATTAGATCTAACGCTGTAAGGTACGGACCTTACAGCGTGCGCGCGCGCATACCTTACAGCGCGCGCGCACTAACACGTGTACCCCACGTGTAGCACACGTGTGCTGTCAGCCCCGACGGCTGACAGCGTTACAGTGCGGGCCGACCCGCACTGTCTACAGTAAGCCGACTACAGTACAGTCCGTACTGTACTGTAGACGGTTAATTAACTTGTACAATAAATATAGGGAGCGACCGCGGCGGAAGGGAGGACAGGCAACCCTCCACCGACGGTCGACCACCCAGCTTACTCTACTCAAACCGCCGTTCCGCGAGTAGTTACCACCGAGCGGGTAGAGGACGCGCGCGACACCGCGACGAGCTGCGGTCCGCCTCCGCCCGTCAGTACCGGAACGTCAACCGGTACTGCTCCGGGGCGTCGAGGCGTCGATTCACTCGCCTACGCGCGCGTCCCCGCCGACCACGCTCTACCACCCGCTACCGGCCCGCTTCCGGTGGCGTTGGTTGGTTCAAGACCCTCGGTACGCCGATCCGGGGTCTTCCGCCGAACATCGCGAACACCCCTCCGCCGTGTGTGGGGTGTTTATGCAACAAACACAAGCTGGCACAAGTCGCCACAAGACCTTATCAGGTCCGAAGATCGGATCAACATACGGTAGTCATTGCCATTGGCGATCAGGAGGAACGCGTATCGCGAGACAGGGTGGAGTTAGCCCCAAGCCCGATGGACTATGCGCCGATAACTGGCCTACGGCAAGCGCTACAGTTCCTGGGAGAGCCGGAGCTAAACGAAGAAGGAGAGGTAATGGAGGACGAGGAACGTCCTCACACCCATGCGCCTACGACGAGGGACCAGGATAATTTAGTTGGTCGAACGCCGACAACGGAGACGCCTCCAGACCTACGCGAGTTTGGAAAGTCCAGAGAAGAGGATGAGTTGGAAAATTTTTGGAAGGGGGAAGGACAGTTGGACACGCAGGAAGAAGGAACCGAGAGTCAGGAGTATGTGATCGACAAGATCGTGGACCATGGCTACGACGAGGAGAAATTAATTCTCAAAGTGAGGTGGTATGGGTATACCATCGAGGACGCAACGTGGGAACCTATTGAGCAGATCCCCGGTAGCGCGGCCGTCACGAATTTCCGAAGGAAGAAGCTACCCTTGCCGCCGCAACTCGCGCGCGCGCAAGCAGGGTAACCCCTGTCAGGAAGTCATCGAGTTGGAATTGGTGATTTGGATCGCGGCGCAAAGGTAGAGAGAGTAAGAACACTCGTAAAACGGCGGTGTCACAAGGGGAAGAAATAGAGATAAGGGAGAGTGGTAGGAGCCAGGACATCTTCCCTCGGGTTCCGCACATGAATGGAGAGACGTACGCCGCCCCACTGAAAAATTGAAGCGCCACTGTAGTGTCAGGCTGAGGTAATTTACCTCCTTGGATACGATCACACGTGGCCGCCACGCGCACGTGAAGTGACGCCCGGATCGATGATCCGCCCTCATGGGGCGTGATTTGACCAAAAGAAATTAGGAATGTCGACAACGAACTGTGAAATGCTCGAAACGAGTTGGGAATCAAAGTCCAGTCATGCCTCAAAAATTATTCCCAAAAATTGAGGAAAATTCACCGCAGACGCGGTCCGCACATGATGTGGAGGCTCGATCACAACAGTGGGCGACGCAAAAATACTCTAAGTCGCCGAGCCTTCCCTGATCAAACATGACCTTGATCGCCATACTCGCTCCTAACACACCCATCATGCTCGACGAGCAAGAGAATTCGTCCCCCTGGGATATTGTCAAGTGGACATGGCGAGGACCACACGCAACCCATTGCGCAAAACGCACACAGAGGGCTTGTCCCCCCCTCTCTAACAATAACGAGAAGCTCGCCAGTGGCGAACGCAGACGACCCCTCGCCTCTCAATAAGTGTGACTTAGGTCCTGTAGGACTGTTCACCCCGTTTATCGACGTCGTCTACTCCCTTTCATCAACGCTGTCAAAGGAGGAGAAATTAGTCCTGAAGATTACGCAGCGTCGAGCCACATCGATGACCCACACGTCATTTTATCCCGGACGATCTACTTACAAGCTGACTGCTGTATCTGTTTTTCTTTCCTTTCCTGTTCTCTGTGTTTTCTTTCTTTTGTGTCTGTTTTTTTTACTGTTTTATTTTTTATTGTGAAGTCGAGGAGGCGACCCTGCACAGCAGAGGTCCGTTAGCAAGTTTATAAGGAACAGGAGAAAGAAGACCCCCTCGACCGATGGTGGAACCGACCACGAATTGTCGCACGACGGCAATCCGGACGTGGAAAGAGAAGTAAGGAGGAGAGCGTCAGGATCACGTCAAGAAAGGGGCAGAGCCCCATATCGCGGAGAAGGGAAGTGTACAAACGCTGTACAAAAAGAGGAGGTATACAGGAAGAGGAGAGGACTTGAGGAAGCGCACTGCAAGTAAGAGTAGGGAATTGGAAAAGAGGACACAGGCAGTGAAAAAAGAGGAGGAAAAATTGGCAGAAGCTAAACGCGGATTACGGAGACGAAGGCGACAGAAAGTGATGGACCGTAGAGTGAAAAATGCCGCAGTACGAGAAACGACGGTTGCGCCACGAGGCGTACGCACCAGGTTATTGTGGGAAAAGGGAGCCCCCTCCGAAAGGGAAAACACGGTCAGCATCATGGTGCCTTATGATTTTTTTTGGAACCGCTCTCTGAGAGGAGACAGATGAGCAACATTTCGTTGACGGACGTTGGTGCCTTTGTTTGGTAGGGACTCGAGGATCAAGGTCTAGGATGCCGCTGTGCAATGGAAACGAAACTCTTACGTGTCTGTTTGTATCATGGTGACAGTGGAACACGTTACGCAGTCGCGAGAAAGGCTAAGGTGCACGGTCACTGCATTACGGTGTTCTCAGTCGGTGATAAGAGTCGCCTAGAACTTCTACAGTAGGCTCGAGAGTGAGAAGGGTGAGGAGCGACGCGCTGTAGAACGTTGAAAGCTCGATGACAATTTAACTCGAACGCTGACACAGGACCCCTGCTCTGCAGACGATGAGCAAGGAAGAAAAGGAGGTTGACAATTTCTCAATTACGGGACTTACACCAGAATCATCTTTTGGGAATCGAAGGAAACAGCGAGAGCTCCGTATCGAGAAAGAAAAGGGAGAAGACGAAGCCCTAGACTATGAATAAGAAAGCGAACGTCGCCCGAGTAAAGGGAGGTCAGCCTTGGAAAAGCGAGAGGAAGTCAGAAGGGGACCGATCGAGAGTCAGTCGAAATTGAGTCGAAGTCCCAAGTGCGCTATCACGTTACACGTGGCCGTCGTGTCGAGCACCGTGGGAATATAATAATCTGCGACGCAAGGGACGAGCTACACTGAAAGCCGTGCCGGACGGAGAACACCCCAGAACCAGGGAGGCCTACGCCCGTTGACTCGATTACAGACTCCGGCATACCAAATAAGACTCCCCACCCCCCACGATGCATCGCTCTACACTCGCACGCTGCCATCACCCAACTCGCATTCTCGAACTAACCCGATCGTCAGATCGTGATCCACCATCGTTCTCCCACCAAGCGTACCAACCTCACCAAAGACCGGAAGTAGTCGGTACACAGTGAGTAGGACCTGCGAAGAAAAAAAGGGGGGGGAAACAAAGAGTGGGAGAAGAAATAAATATGAGGAGATGCGACCGCAGAGGCGAGGCGCTTACAAAAAGAGGAGGAAGACGGTAACAGGGGGACTCAGCTTGACGAGAAAGCAAAGGACAAGAGAAGGTACTGAGGAAAAGAGGACGAAAAAACGGACGAAACGGGTGCGACCGCTTTTGCGGGGGCGCACCAAGAAAGCAACAAAAAGAGGAGGAAGTCTAAAGACCAAGGTTTGACCGGAGACGAACAGGAGGGTTACGCGAGGACAAGAGGATGTGATTGAGGCTGTTCCAGCGCAGGAAAGGACTGCAACACACTCGCGTACATGTCGCGACAACGCAGTTATAATTGCAGTGAGATGTTGATCCAGAGACTTAGAATATTCTTGCCGCGCGCATGGCGATCTCCCCGTAAACTGATCCGTGCCGGGAGAGGGCGAAAATTGAAGGAAAATCAAAGAGAAGGTAAAGAGAGGGAAAACGGAGAAGAGGAAGATTCAGTGACCCGCTGGGTAAGAGGATGAGGTGGATTTGAAAAGAAGGGACGGAGCCACCGAGGAACGTACAGGACAACGTTTTACATGGGGGACCCCAGGGTGTCGCTGCTAGTCAGACGACACGCCGGCAAATTAAGGGGATGCTACCGGCAGGTGAAGAGTGTAGCATGACGGATGAGGACGCACGGAGGCGTCACGGGGTCGCCTTGTGAAGAGACGTCCCTTCCGGAAGGGATGTGAGGAGTCGAGCGAGGACCCTAAGGTCGTCCAGAGAAGCTCCTTTGATGGATTCGGGGGACACGCCATGAGCCCTAAGAAGGGCCACGTAAGCCGCAGACACAGGGCACCCTCGCCTAACATTTTTGGGAGAAGGGAACGTTGCGTCACGCCGCGATGGTTTGAATTGATGCACCAGAGAGGGGACGGGGAAAGTGAGCCTCCCTTCACGTTGGGGCACCTCACGAACGGACAAGCTTTCCGTAGCCGTAGAAGCCGAGTGCACGACTTCAACGACTGAGGCGACAGGGAGGCTACCGGGAGTGAGTGGCGAGGGAGAAAGGGGCGCGGACCTCAGCTGGATCGGCGGGGCTGCTTGAGCCTTTGGTTTGGTAATGATGGACGGGGGAGTCGATGACTTCTCAGGAGGGCGGTCGTGATCCACAGGAAGCAAAGGAGATGATGGACGGGAGCACAGAGCGGGGCGCTCGTGGATCCGTTGTCGTGAGCAGGTCATCGCTCGGAAGGGGAATCTGATTTCCAAACCGCCGACTCAGTTGAGCTTCGGCCGCCGAGCATAATGACCCAGACCACGGATTGAACCAGGCATAATCCCCTGCAGCCTGATGCGATCGCCCCGGAGAGAATGACGCACGTCGATGGGAGAAGGAGCGGGATGAATCTCGACAAGAAATGCTATCCCAATCCACGGTGTCTATTCGGTCCAGCAATGTATGCAGCTCCAAGTCCACGTCGGCTCCGCCCAGTGGGACGGTGTAATCTAGTGAGCGCATGAGATCGACAAGCTTCGGGGGCAAGAACCACAGTCTCCAGCAGTCATACGCTTCCCAGATCAGAGTGGCAGCTACCTTAACGCACCACTCTGTGAGGAAGACGACCCACAAACCATGGCGCCGGTTCTGTAAGTAACTGCCAAAATAGGTGAAGACGGGACCAAACTCGGACCAAAAGCCCTGGCATACTTCATAACGACCCCACCACAATGGGATAGGCTGGTAACGGTTTGCGTAGTGCACCCGCGCTATCTCTCGAGCCTCGACCATTTGATACGCGACGAAGTATCCGGTTTCGGACCTTAATCGACGCTCCAAGCGTACAGTATGGTTGAGGAAGCTGAGATTCCCACGTTTGAGATGCCGGAAATTTTCGGGGATGAGGGGCTGCGTCCAAAAGATTGCATCGTTTGACACGATGTGCTGATCATGCCAACGACGATCCGCCTCCCTGACAGGGTCACCCATGCTTGACGCTACGAAATTGTCTAAGTAAGACCGTTCGCCCTCAGTGCGAAACTTCCACGTGTCACAATAGAAAGTGGAAGGAATCAAAGCGTCCGTCATGAAGAGGTCCAGCCGTTCAATGACGGCCTGCATAAAGCGCATTGACAGCGCTTGACGACCGCGAGGGGTAGAATGTCGGAGGATCGATGGAGGAATGGCTATTCGAATACGCCAATCATGGGAACGTACGGCTGACATGGGGAGGTTACCGGGCAAAATACCCCCACCGTCGGCAAAGTCTCGTTCGATGCCGTCGAGATCGCGCACCCCGATCACGGAGAACCACTTTGCTGCTGCGTACATTAGGGGGTGATGGTGCATGGATTTATTGTATAACTCCTGAAGTGGGGGATATCGTTGCGACGCAGAGACGAGAGGAGTATGACCCGGAATAAGAGCCGATTCGGCTGGGTCGAGAGGAGGAGGTAGTCGGGGGATTGAGGGGAGCTCTTGAGGGTGGCTCGATTTGTATGAGAACCCCACACCGGCACGACCTCGCCGGACATGAGGTTTCTCCGGTTCGGATGAGGGTCCCGATGGAGGGACAGACGTGTCGGACATCAGCCACGGGGAGGAAGGGTCGTCTTGTCCTTGCTCGACCGCCTTTTAAAAGAAGAAAGAAAAACAAGGGGGTACCCGCGCGCTGGTAGGAGGGAAAGCAGCACCAGATAGTGCAGGGGGAGACCTTCGGTCGAAGGATGAGGACGATGGATGGACGCGCGAGCTGGAAGAGAAGAGAAATCGGAAGATTATACGAAGAGTTGGCGGTGGGCAAGGACGCTCGGAAGGGGGATATGTAGTGCAATACGCACCTGAAAAGGGGGGTGGAAAGAAGTGAAAAGGGAAAACAAATTGGATACTGTAGTCCGGGTTTGGGGGACACACGTGTGTGACGACGCGCACGTTTATTTTAATTATTTAATTTATTTACTAATTAGATCTAGAATCTAGAGCCAGGAGCTACTGTACTCGCCCCGGCGGGGCTCTATATAACTTAGCCCTTTGACCGACCCAGTCAATAAACCAACCCGAGTTGCCGGAGTTGAATGTCGCCTTGGTCGAAGTCCGTCTCTATCAAGACGCTCCCTTTTACCTAAGCCTACGGCATCCTCTATTGCTCGGGGGTCCCCTTTTTCCTTATCAATTTTCCTTTATTTCCCTATCCTAATTTCCCTTAATCTTGAGTTGGTCCCCCTTGTAAGATTGCGATCCGCAACGTGACGCCATTCGCCATCGGGCTTTTGTGTTGGTGCACCAGTGGTGCTTTTCTCAGTGTTGGTTCCATCGGAATCTGGTTGCGACCGATCCGTTGTTGGTACTTTGCCATCGGGCAGTACGACGGTGTAGCGCTTCTACGTTTTCTTCTTTCCCGACGGGCTACGTTGCGACGTCCCTGTCGAAGACCTTATCAAGGGTATAAGGTGTACAAGGCGCTCTTCGAGCATTGCATTTACGACCCATCGGACCAGGTTTACCTAAACACCCCTCCGAACTCGTCGAGCAGTTGCCTTTACAAGTCTCTACCACCATTTACCGATCCCGGGCGGGGCCCTTCTCTTTGCCCCCCCCATATCAGGGATCCGAGCTACTGCGGGCCGCAAACCCGCTTAAAGAGGACAGGGAGCTTCGAACACTCCGTAGCGCTGTGCCGTTGGCAGTTGTTGCTTTTGGTTGCTGTTGTTTGCGTTGGACCGTCGGACCTTGGTCTCTGCCTAACAGGCGCATTGCACTACACCAGTCCCTCTGATGCTCCTCGACATAGTGTCAGAGGCGCTGCACCAGGGTGCGATTGAACCGTTCGGTTTGCCCATTTGTCTGGGGGTGATAGGCGGTAGTCAGGTAGTGCCTCACCCCCAGCAAGGCGCACACCGCGTCGAAGAACTTGGCAGCAAGTTGTTGTCCGTTATCGGTTAGCACGTAACGAGGTGCGCCGTATACGTAGACCCAATTGTCCAGGAAGGCGTTTGCCACGACCGACGAGGTGGTTGTCCGTAACGGGATGCTGCGCCTCAGCTTCGTAAACCGGTCGGTCATGACGAGCAGGTGGCGATTCCCGTGCGCCGTCTTCGGTAAAGTACCCAGCAGGTCCATGGCGACGAAATCTAGCGGCCCTGCCGCTGGGAATAGCTTGAGGTCCTTCTGATGCCGCACCAGGGTTCCCCTGGTGGCGGCGCACGAGGCGCAATTCCGTACGGTACTGAAAGCGACGTTGGCCATATGAGGCCAGTAATATTCCCGCCGGAGGGTATAATACATCCTCGTACCGCCCAGGTGTCCTGCCAGGCGGGGATGATGGGCGAGGTACAATATCTTCGCCCTGAGCCGTTTCGGTACGACCCGCTGCAGGGTCCGATCGAGGGGGATTTGCGGACGACGAACCCGTATCGGTCGACGTCGTAGCGCGAGTCCGAGTTCCCCACGGTCTCTGCGGCCGCCGTACAGAAGGGGTCCTCGGCCTGCTCCCGAAGGAGCTCTTCCACTGTTATGGATGAGACGTCGCGTTCTTCGGGTGTAACCGCGAACGCGTGCTCAGCTCTCCCCGGGTCGACGGGGGTCTCCCAGTGTACGGTACCTTGGCGAGGGTTATGCTCCTCCTCTCGCCATTGTACCGCGAGACACGGGACCTCGTCGTCAACCGGTTCGGAGGTTGCGCCGTCAACTCGGAGGCGTGATACACCATCCGCGAGCTGGTGCTTAATACCCGGTCGGTACTGTACGTCGTAGTCGTACTCGGCTAGGCGGAGACGACAGCGCGCTAGCCGGCCGGAGCTATCCGCCAGATTGAGGACCCATCGGAGGGCCTCGTAATTCGTACGGAGGTCGAACGTGTTCCCATATAGATATGGTCGAAGCGTGAGGATGCTCCACACGACAGCAAGGCACTCCTTCTCGGTGGTGGTGTAATTTTTCTCGGCGTCGGTTAGAGCCCGACTCCAATACCCGATCGGTAAGCGGTCACCGCTCGGCTGCTCCTGTAATAGGGCACAGCCGACCTGGTACGCGCAAGCGTCCGTATCCAGGGTGTATTTCTTTCCGTAACGGGGTAGCGCGAGGATCGGTGGGGACATGAGGCGCTTCTTGATTTCCACGAACGCCTCGTATTCCTCATCGGTAAGAACCTCAAACTCGAAGGGTTGATTTTTCCCCGTCTTCCGGTTTAGCGGAGGGGCTATTTTCGCGAAGCCCTTCACGAACCGACGGTACACGTTGCACATTCCTAAGAAGGATCGCAATTCCGTCTGGTTTTGGGGAGGTCGAGCGCGCTCGATGGCGACCACGTTGCGGCGCTCGACTTCCAACTTACCTGGTCGGATCACATGCCCCAGGTAGGTGACCGAGGTGTCGAAGAAGGCGCACTTCGACAGCTTCAGTGACACGCCCGCGTGCCGCAGAAGGCGCAAAACCTCGCAGACGTGCGCGAAGTGTTCCGTTACGGTCTTGGAGTAGATGATCACATCATCCAGGTAGACCAGTGCAGTTTCCCATTTTACCTGCGACAGTATAATGTCGACGGCCCGCTGGAAGGTAGCGGGGACATTCTTCAAACCGAACCGCATGCGGAGGAAACGGTACAACCCGCAGTGCGACGCGAACGTCGTCTTGTCGCAGTCCTCCTCGGGTATTTCTACTTGCCAATACCCGCTGTTGCAATCCAGCGTGATAAAGACAGTAGCGTCGCCGAGGGAATCGATGCACTCGTCCATCCTTGGCAACGGATAGGAATCCCGAACGGTGACTGCGTTGAGCCTTCTGTAGTCGACACAGAACCACATGGTACCATCCTTTTTAGGGACGAATACCACGGGGCTTGCCCATTCGGCCGTGGCGGGTTCGATTACCCCTGCCCGGAGCATGCCGTCGATCTCCGTTTTCTCTTTTTCCCGTGCGGTTGGTCCAGCGCGGTAAAGCCCCTGGTAAATCGGGCGAGCACCGGGCTTGAGCTCAATCCGGTGCTTCGTGGCCCCGATTTTTCCCAGCTGGCCGGTCCACATCCCCTTGAATTCGGACAGTACCTCGAAGACCTCCGAGCGTACCTCCTCGTCCTCGGCACCGATGTGGACGTCCTCCTGCCAGGCGTTGTGGTCCTCCTCGGGGGCGGCGGTGTCTTCGGGTTTATACGTTCCAGCCGCCCCGAGGGGCGCCTTGGGAGGCGTGGCTTGTTCAGCCCCGCCCTTATCTGTACGGTTGTCGGCGGCTTCTTCCGCGCCATCCTTTGTTGAGAGGTTGGAATTAAATATCCCTCCCCCTTCCTTAGCTTCGGCCGCTTCCGCGGCCGAGTCGCCAAGGGTCAGGATTTGAGTAGGCGACGGAAGAGCCAGTCCGACTACGGTATGCTTCGGGATGTGAACCGAGCGGTGCCCAAAATTGCTGAGCGTTACCGAGAACGGTTTTTCGGGGGCAACATCCATGACCCCCTGTGCCATGAGGGTCAAATTCTTGTGCGCGGTTTTTGGGGAGTTCTGTAAAAAACATAGCCCCACCACCGGCGTCGCGACCCTCACCATGGCCTGCGTCATCGGGGGAATTGTCACTTCTCTGACGAGGCGGATCTTCCGTGACGGTGTGTTGGCGGGGAACGACACCTGCTTCCGTTCGGGTTTATCCGACGGCGGTAGTTGTTGTGCGGTGCTCCTCGAGGCCATCTTGCGGTCGTGCCTGGAGGGAGTTGTTACGACCAACGCTACGGGCGGCGCGTCTTGGAACACGACCTTCCGTTGCAGTGGGAGGATCGCCTTGACGTGGCGATCCAGGAAAGTTGTACCGAGGATACAGTCCACGGCGAGGCTTGTGACTACCAGGAACGGGACGCGCGCCACAAACTCACCGATTCGGACGAGCAGGGGGATTTCCCTCTAGTGCCTTCATCGCGCGGTTTGACGCGTCGATGAGCGCTGGGCTCCGAACCGGTTCTATCGATGGTCGCCACGACTCGGCGACACACCGTAAATGGATGAGGTTCG